TTATAAGGGGTTGACACAACAACCAAAAAACCCCCACCGCCGTTGGGGGTGGGGGGGGTGTTGGGGGGTTTTGTTCCCCAAACGTCTTAAAGAAACCCTGCCCTACGCCAATAAAGAACATTCTTGAAACCCCTACTGTACCTATTTTTTGACCTCTCAGAGTTCCTCTCTACCACATCTTATACCAGACAAAATCAATACTGGGTTATTTTGAATTTCTTTCTCAGATTTTCTTCTTTCCCAAAACTAAGTAATCTGGGAGGAAACTCCTCCCTTAATCGTTTATTTGTTCCTTCTCCCTTTCCAGGGCTAGGTCTACATTGCATCACAGTCCCACAGAAAGATATTCCTATCGTCTTCCGGGCAAGTTTAGGAACAAAATATTTTATTAGTTCTCAAGTTGTGTATGTTTCAGAAGTAAGATAAGAAAACTTTTGTGTTTATGAGAGAGCCAACAGGATGTTGCAGTTAGATCACTGCAGTTAGATCTTGACTGAGGTCAAGCTGACCTTGACTGAGGTCCTCGCCTGACTATAGTGTTCACTGGATAAATTTGGATCAGTCTCTTTCTCTCAATCAAAACATGCCTTGCAAGATTTTTGCATGGAGAAAAGGAGGCGTGACCTCAAGGGACAATGAAAGAAAAGTTAAAAATCCAATAAATAGTTTAAAAATGCACACCATTTTTCACAGGCCCAGAAACCTTTGAGGCTCATGATCTGACTTCATCCAATTGCTCAGAGAAATCTCAATGGCTAACATGGTACCAAACCTGGCTGGTGGTTGATGCCATTCCGTTTAGGAGGACACGTTCTGCTTCAGGCTCTTGGGTGCCCCCCTGGTCACCACCCTCTTCCGTCGCTGCTGCACTGTCCATAGTGCTCAAGGCTTCTCCATGAGATTGTGCCATGCTTTGAGTAGGTACGTTATCCGGCGAATCACTCTCAGGCAGAGGTGACGGTGAACTGGAGTCAGCCACCTGGAATCCTCCATCCAGCTGGCTCTAAAACATATACATATCCAGAAGATGAAAAAGGGCTGTAAATCTGGACGTTCAACAAGCTCTTGGATTTGAAAATCCTGTGATAGCTTTGACCACATTTCTATATCTGATTACCTGGCATAAATCAATCCACTCTGGATTGTATTATAAAAACCCCAGTGTGGGGGGCTGAAAAGGTATTAATCTACCCATTTCCTTGTAGAAAGAGTGCAGAATTTCCACGACACTTCTTAGCTGGGTTCACACAACACATTGAACCTAAACCTTAGTCAGCAAGCCACTAGTGCTCACGTAACATACATGTCTCCCAAAATAGGCTATATTACAGTGAAACCTTGATCTAATGAGCCTCTCATGGGAAAGAACGGTTCTTTCCAAACTTTAAACTGGAGTGACATCAACTGAGTGATTGATGTCATTTCTGTGATCATTAAAGAAATGATGTAAATCCCTGTGGTCTGTTATATGCCAAGTCCATTGCATCGGTCCAATCAATCATAGTTTTGTAGTAATGTTTAATGCGATTACTACATCAATGGCTGGATCACAGCCTCTTCAACCCCATTTCAGCTTGGTCCAGTATGTGGAAATGTATTAGACTCCCCAACCTCCTGTAATTTCTAGCCAACCTTGGAGAGGACACCCAGCACGGTGGGAAGGGGCAATGTTGCTTAGTTGGGTATAAGGATTATCAGGAATTTGAAAGATGTGGGTATAAGAATAACTGGGAATATGAGAACTGGACTAACCCCCCAAATCCACAACATGATAGACCATTCATGGTTAACCTGATTACTGAACTAATGCACTGAACTGCCTGCTAACCAAATGGTTGGGTTTGCCCAAGCTCTTCATGGCATGCAAATTCAGTTGCTAGGACTTTCACTGATCTAAGCATGTTATATCAACACAGTCACTGAGAAATGGTACATTGCAGAAGGTGACCAAGAACAATAGGTGGTAATCAATCTGTAAAGGGAAAACAATCAACCAACCGGAAACCAAGTCAAAAACTTGTAGACTTTTCCTTCAGCATTTGGCCAGAAATGCATAGTGGTGAAAGACTGCATCAGACCTTCTGATAAGAACTGGATCTTACTTGGCTTAAGAAGGCTTTGCTAATAGCCATGCACTGTCATACTTCTGGAATATTTGCTTTCACTTTACAGATATGAAAAATTGCTGAAGGGGTTTCTTCCAAGGGCTTCAGCTAGGACAGATAAATCTATCAAATGTGGTTTTGCAAATGGATACAAAAACAATATAAAGTGGACAGATTTTATTCCATACAAAATCTTAAACAATTTTTGTGCACTTTTAACACATGATTTTAATTATCTGTGCATAAGTATGGATTTCATAGAATCATACGGTTGGAAAAGATTTTGGAGGTTTTCTAATTCCACTCCCTGGCCAGGGCAGGAATCCTCAGACCAGACAAAGGGCTGTCCAACCTTTGCTTGAAAGCCTCTAGTGATGTAGTACCCATGACTTCAAGAGGTAGGCAGTTCCACTGCTACATAGCTGCCACGGTCAGAAGTTCCCCCTCATTTCAAGTCTGAATCTCCCTCTGCAAAGCTTCCATCCACTGTTTCTTGTCCTACCCTGGGGCACTACAGAGCATAAATCCACTCCCTCTTCCTGGTGACAGCCCTTCAAGGATTAGAAGACTATTATCATATCTCCCCCTTAGCCTTCTGTCCTTTAGGCTAAACACACATTGAAAGATGTAACTGTATTAATCTGCACTTAGTTTGGGTAGCAATGTGGAAGTGGTTTGCCATTGTCTTCTTCTGTTTCAGCTTCACAGTTTGGTTACACTCCTGGGATTTTCTTGGTGGTCTCCCATCCAAGTATCAACCAGGTCTCTCGGGTGGATTTGGTCTACCTGCTACCTGGCTGAGCTAGTAGATCAAGCATTTATGAGTGACTCAACAAGGAAAAAAAAACCTTCTGCAATCTGTTTCAGTATGGAAGACCTCAGAACCAAATCTCAACCTTCCATAAGATTTCATAGAATCAGAGAACTGGAAGATGCTATTGAGGCCAATCAAAGAATCCAAATAAGTCATCCATGACTGATGGCTGTTTAGCTTCTGCTTGAACACGTCCAGAGTTCAACTGAAAAGGAGCCCACCAACTCTCTGGATGATGATGATGATGATGATGATGATGATGATGATGATGATGATGATAATTCCTAATATGTGTGTGCTGCTGAAGCATTCCAACTCCCAACAGCTTACAACAAAATAAAATAGAATAAAAAATCCACTGTAAGAAAAACAAAAACAAAACACAAACATGGTAAAACCTCCATGATAAGAAAAAAGGGGAAACACTGATAATTTAAAAATTACTTCAGTCCTCATAGTATTTGAGCCTACAAAAACTCAGAAAAAACAAAACTAATAGGAACAGTAAGAATTAAAAAAGAAGAACAAATGACTGATCTTTTTTTTCTTATCATTTCACTGGAATCTGCCTCCCTCTTACTTAAATTCATTATTCTGTGTCCTGCATTCTGGAATAAGAGAGAAGAGATCTTGACCTTCTTCTATGGAACCACCTTTCAGGTATTTGAAGAGGCCCATCATGTTCTCCCTCAGTCTTCTATTCTCAAGGCTGAAAATGTCCAATCTCCTCTCCTAAAACTTAGTTTGAATCCCACTGATCATCCCTGTTTCCCTTCTTTAAACCTCTTTCAGTTTCTATGAATCCTTCTTAGGGGTGCTCACCTACACAATGTTCAAGCTGGTATCTGGGCAAAGCAGGATAAAGTGGAGTGAGTTGTGCTCCTCGAGTGAGCAAACTGGGAGAGTGAACTGGGGAATTTTGCATAGAAATTAAATTGAGCAAAGGGAAAAGAAAGTAGAGAGAGAAAGAAGAAGAGAGTAGAGAAGCCAAGGGCATGGTGTGGAGTTGGAGTAGATGACTTCCAGCTCTATGAGTCTGATTTCTGAATCAGGAGATTGGAATCTGGATCTTACCTGCTGGGTAGCCCACAGATGGCTTTCTTTGCCAGTCCTAGTTTCAGCTAGAGACTGAGTGACCTCTTGGCTTGAAGCTCCTGCCCCATCAGCAGCACCATTCAGAGTCCCACTGGCCAGAAGAGATCTTCCTTGCCCCTGCTCCTCCTTTCCAAGGGCAAAAAGGTCTTTGAGGTCCTCTTTCCTGTCACTAGCTCCTGCTTCAGCCTCTCCTAAAGGGTCCTCTGGATCCCCACAGCCCCCTTCTTCTTCAGTCTCCAATTCAGGGTCTTCAACTACAACAAAGACAGAACTGGTGGTATGAAGATCAAAGCAACTTCACAGTTGAAGATAGCATGTGGGAATCACATAGTCGCACCTAAAATTCTGCTTTCAAGTCATGTTTGGGGCTCAGATATCCATGGCTCTGCCAACAGTATCAACACTCTGAGTTATGGAATCCAGAATGGGAAGTCGGGTCCCTCTCCACTACTGATGTGTGGCAAGCTTCAACTGGGAAACCACACTGCCCTGGAAAGCTGAAGTTCCCCATACTCCTGTGAAGAACTTCTCCTAGGGCACTCTTTCCCATGATCTCACCCTACGTGTGCAGCATCTGTGTGGTTTAGGCTTAAAATGCCACCAGGTGACACCATCAGGTGACACTCAAGTGTTTGCTTCTTCTTTGGATGGACCTTTCTGGCAATTAGAAAGTCCTCCTACTCCTCATATTCATCAATATCCCAGGTTTATATGGCTGCTTGGGGTTTCTGAGAGGTCCTTTTGGTGATGCAACAGTATGGAATTCACTTCCTAAAACATACCCATAGAACTTCTCTTATTATATTTTGAGGCCAGGAAAATCCTATCTTATTCTCTTGGGCTTTTAACAGTACTGTCTTTTAGAGTGTGATTGACTAAGTCTTTTGATGGAATCTTAGACTGATTTAAATCATCCCTCATTTTCATTTTGATGTCTGGAAGAGCTTTCCCATCACCTTTAATGAAATCCAGTTGATAGAGGATTCGTTCCTCTGCATTGAAATCCACTGTGTAGTGCTCCATGTTGTCGTATCCTGGCTCCAGGACTTCTGGTTTGCAGCTCTGACTCATCTCCACAATCCTGGGATGAGGAGGGATAACAGTTACAGCCCCCCCCCCCCCAGGTGGAAAGCTTTGAGTTTATTTTTTTCAGCCCCCAAAGGCATGGATACTGTAAGAGAATGAATCATACTTACTTTTGGATGAGAACTTTGGCATTCTGATATGTTGGAAAAAGAGACAAAAATTAGATAAATGGGGAAAAAATCAAGTTTTCTTTTTTAAAACTACTATGAAAAAGGAGTTCTAGATTCTACTGCCATGAATGCTGAACTGAGTTCATATGTCATCCTTCATTGGTGATTGGATTGACCCGAATTCTGGAGTCACATGATAAATGGGAACATAAATTAAGTCAACAAGCTGGGTTCATTCAAACAGCCAACCCTCATCTCCCAAAACTGAAGAGTAACCTCAACCAAACTTAAAGATACCCAGGGGGTCTTTAACTGACTGTGTTTAAGAGTTCAAATGTCACAAACTGAACATATGAACCTACCATATGGGCTAATTTAGCTAAAGGTGCACAGCCTTGCAACTAGACAGCTGCGTGGTACCCCCAGAAGTTTGGTGTGGACCCCAAAGCCACCTCAAATTGTAATGAAACCGTGCTTTCTAATCAGACAGAAGGGAAACATTAATGCATGGTAAGAAAAGATCTACATTCTCTGATATTGCAGAGATGTATATCGATATATTCAAGATATATTTAATATCTCTATATGAAATCTCTATTGTTTTAATTGTATTCCGATGTCAGGGCAGTGAAATCTAATTTCATTTTCGTCCTGGCCCCATTGAGAAGGTCAGACTCCCTCCACGTTTAATAGGGTTTTGGATGCTCCTGGATTTTAAAGCTGAGATACTGGCAGCATTCGGACCAGACGTTCCACCTGGTTACTGAATTCACACAAACTGTTTTCATGAGGGTGTTTGCAGCAAAGCAGAGAAGATGGGGCAAGCCCTGCCCTCAGTGGCATCGCCGCACCAGCCCCTTCTTATCACGCCTGCAGGGTGGCACCTTGTGACACGATATCACCGCTGATGTTCGGGCACCGCGAGAGCGCCTCTTGTTCCTCGCTTGCCAGCAACAAACAGACCAGCCAGCCCATCTGACGTGTTTTCTAACCGCAATTGCCAATTGTTGCTGTTGTTGTTGATATTTCAGTTTAGGGGCCGCCTGACTCCAGATCAGCTCTGGGCAGCTCACACCATAACAGACAGAAAATATGATATGACGAAGGGGGGGAAATAAATAACAAGTAAAATAGAGAAAAGGATGGTGAAACTAGCCAGCAACACACAAGGGGCTCCAGGCAGGTCTTTAAGGGTCCCCAGAATGCCTTCAGGGTGTCCCAGAGCAGACCAGCTGTAGCTTTTTGCAGCAGGCTGTTTTTTTTTCTTTTTCTTTTCTGGCCAGGAATAATTAAAATGGGCATTTACATACATATATATATACAGTATATTTGGCCTTTCACCCCTCTGGGTGGTCTGCGTCTTCCTCAATCTTGGGTCCTCCACCAGAGGCCTGGGAGTTGGAGGGATCTGCGCAGGATCTGAGCTGTTCCTGGCCCTGCACTCTTCTGGATAGAGAGCTCGGATGGGGGTCCTGGGATCTGTGGGAGCCCCTCTCCCCGCTTAGGAGTTGCGGCCCCGAGCCTCCCACCACCACTGGGACCCCTTTGGCCTTGACTTTCCACATCCTCTCTAGTTCCTCCTTCAGGGCCTGGTCCTTCTCCAGCTTCTCATGCTCCTTCTTCCTGATGTTCCTGTCTCTTGGCATCGCTACATCTCTCACCACCGCTGCCGTCTGCTCCTTGTCTACCACCGTGATGTCTGGCTGACTGGTCAGCACCTGCCTGTCTGTCTGGATCTGGAAGTCCCACCGGATCTTAGCCCTGTCATTCTCCATGTTCCGGGGCTGCTCTTACCTGCACAAAAACAGACATCTGAGGCTCTTCCATGGACTGCAGGGCTGTCTCCACCAGCTTGGAAGAAGAGTCAGCGTGGTCACTGCACACTTTGCTCAGCGCCTTCAAATGCTGAGCCTTGTTCTCCTGCTCGTACGTGATCCTCTGCAGCATAATCTTTCTCCTCTCTTCCAAAATAGCCCCCATGCGGTCAAACTTCTCGCACAGCGCCTGCTTCTGAGCTTTGCAGTTAGCCTGCTCGAAAGGGAAAGATCAGGCCATCAATCCAGGCTGGATGGTGTATCCGGTCTAATTAAAACATGGTTTGTCACTGAGGCTGGGTCCTCACAACAACATGCTTTGCCAGGCTGGTGGAAGATACGGCCGTTGCATTGGCCGTTTGTGTTATCTGAACCCAGACTATGGTTAGTTTATGAGTCACTCTGTGGCGTGACCCCAGAGAATGGGATAATCTCATAACCTGGTTAAGTACGTTGTGGGAAAGCAGCTTAAGGATTCAGCTCCAGCTTCTGACTCAGTCACTCCTTGCTCTTCCTCTACATGTGAGTAAGGAGGGCTCAAGAGTTTCGATTTAGACTTGGGAACTACACGTGGCTTTCTCACAGGAGCAAACTCAAACTGTTTTTCATTCTAAATGTATTTTTTTATTTATTTTTTTATTTATTTATTTATTCATTCATTCATTCATTCATTCATTCATTCATTCAATTTATATGGCCACCCAACTCACTCGCGGTGACTCCGGGCAGCTTACAGGAATAAAAATCCCAAATACAAAACCCACTAAACCCTCCACACCCTAAATGTAGGGTGTTCAAACAAACTATAGTTAGTTGGATTTTTTCCTCAGGCTGAAAAGGTTTCCAGCTGAAACAGACATTCAAAAATATTATTTTAAGGTTAAAAAAATAATTGGAAAGCGGGCCAAAGAGCCAGCCTCTGGAATTATATTTAATTTTGCTACTCCTAATGGGTTTTATAACAGCCCTTAGACATGTTCAGGATGAAAAATGGTGGGGAGCTGCAAGACATGCAGATGCATCCACCGGCGGTCAAAAAAGTCAAGATGGTGGCTGTAACCATGCAATCAAAGCCCCACCCCTTTTAAAGGGGCAAGGCCTCAATCGCATGGTCACAGCCACCATCTTGACTTTCTTGACACAACCCCAACCCCTGCGCAGATGCTCCTGAAAAATACACTTTATTTGGAGGTGAACCGCCTCCTTCAGAATTAACCCAAAGGTAAGCTGGATGACAGAAGTCTAGTGGACGGTATCCAAGGGCAACCCCAGCAGCCATTTTGTGAAGGTGCCCACTACATACATTTGCAGTGTGACCCCTGGTTCAAACATGTGGAGTCTCTTGTTAATCATCCTTCTGAAACTACTTTTTAATCAGCGTGGGTATCTTTCTAACAGAAAGAGAGAGCGCGCTTTAAAAAATACATGACAGATTTTAATTCCTGGAGGGTAAATCATTTCCGCATATTTTTTTTTAAAAAGCCATTAGTATCTGAATTCCACCCACCTGTTCTGGGATTTATTTGGTTTAATTCACTAAATTTTTCAAAAGGCCATTTATCTACAGCCAGCTGAGGTGGGAAAGTGGGAGAAAAAGCCTGAAAGAAATTCAGAATTTTTGAAATTGCGCTGGGGAGATGTTTTTCCTCACAGTACTCTCAAAATACTTGATTCATCCTGAATTGCGCATAGAATTACGCGACTGAACAGTAAAAGTCTTTAGGACTGTCTACTGTTTATGCATCCTTATTAGCTCCAGCTTTTGGCCTTAATCTTGCAACCTTTTATACTTAGCTTAGGTGGGTGAAGAAATACATTACAGGTCCAAGACAAAGACTCAAAGAGGCAGCAACTGACCCAAACTGGACATGAATGAAAAATAAACTTACTTTAAACTGGTGCCAAAAAAAAAAAGAGCTCAACTAAGACAGGAAGTGAAAGGAAAACTTTCACAGATTTCTCTAACTAAGGGCAGGGAGGTCACCATTCACCATTTATGCAAAAGCTCTGGTTGAAATCAGACAATGTATTTAACCTGCTTCCCAAATTAAATTGGTGTCTGGATTCTCACAAGAGAATTGGCTGGTTCTGCATAATAGACCAAGCAACAGGCTCCAGAGAACACAAACCAAGGTTAACGGTAACTGAGCATGTTGGGCTATGGCATTTCTCTGTTCCAGTTCATACTCCTGTGTGAATGCCACCACTGAAAATGTTTGGGTGTCTCAAAGAAGCCTAGAAGATATCCCTGACCTTCAGAAAAAGGAGGATGGTGAGTAATGGCCTACCTCAATATTCCTGCATCTGCCTTCAAGTTCCCCAACGTAGGCTTGGATCCTGTCATTGCTTGCCACAAGGGCCCCAATTCCATCAGTCAGCTTGGCCTAGATAGAAGAGATCAGAAGCAGATGGTCCTGCAGTCAAGATCCTGGCTGGTCAACCATCCGGACACCATGAGCAGAAAGGGCACCAGGAACTCTTTCCCAATTCATAGTGGTCATCTGCAGAATGTAATCTAAGCCCACAAATCATTTCCTACAGTTCATACCAATGTTTTGTGTTTGGGAGAAATCAAACGTTGAATTGTTTCCTGCATCGAGCTAAGCAGGAATGGGGTTGAATGTTAGACGTTTCCTCACAGTAATTGTGGACGCCGTGACTTGAGAAGGTGGTGGGGGCTTCCCTATGTTGGATTTGTTCAAGTAGAAGTTGGACAGCCAACTGTCAAGGATGCTTTAATGACCATGGGCTTCCCTCAGTGGTCTAAAACAGGATTTTTCAACCTCAGCAACTTGAAGATGTCTGGACTCCAACTCCCAGAATTTGCCAGCCAGCATGGGTGGCTGGCTGGGGAATTCTGGGAGTTGAAGTCCAGACATCTTCAAGTTGCTGAGGTTGAAAAACAGTGCTCAAAAGCAGAGCCAGAATAAGGCCAACTGATGCCCTAAGCACAGCCCAACTATGGGGCCCTTCAACAGAAGTGAAATTCTCACGCCATGAGAGATGGAAAGAAATGTGACATCGGATGACACCCGCAAACCAAACATTTAAGCTTTAGTCACTCACCATGCCAAATATATATATTTTTAACAATGCAGATTGACATCAAACATGGCTGATCAGGACAATGCCAAAAAAATGGACTGAAGTCCAGGGTGGCAGTGAAAGAGCTAAGGGCATGATAGCTAGGGGTAAAACTCAGTGGTGCCCCCTCCTTTGATGCCCTAAATATGCTTATTTTGCTGATGGTTAATTCAGGGCTGGTCTACAGGACTCCTAACTCTAGGATTTTATGGCTAAAGACCCAATAATTCCCTTTCATTGGTTGGAGATGGTGCAAATTGTAATCCAACATGTTCAGGTGGTGGAGAGGCTGATCTAAAACATGGCGGGCAGTTGAGTAAATGTGAAGTCCGCCTTTTTTTGACAACATAAGGAGGCTGGGACAGACCTTCTGCTTTGTGCAGATGTCCGAGAGTGGGGCGACTTCACATTCCTTATGTTCTCCGAAAACCTTGCACAGGGAGCATGTGGGAACAGCGCATGTCACACAGTAAATGTTGATCCTTTCCTCTTCGTGCTCTTCGCAAGTTGGGTGCTCGGTTTTTAACAGAGGCCTGTTAGAGGAGAAACAAAAATATTGAGAACAATAAATATACAAATGCAAATGTTGAGAAGACTGAATATACAATTTGGTGAGAAAGAACGGGCCCTTTTTGGATTGTCTGTTTGCATATCTTTGCCAGGGAATATTTTCAGAATGTCATGTGAGTTCCACTAATATATAAGGGGAATCTGGGTGAATAAATAACCCCCAAATTTGGTGCTTGTTTCATATTTCATCAACAAAGTCATCCAATACGAGATGTGCCAGGTGAAAAAGCAATCAGCCCACCATTAGCTGCGAGAACTGTGTGGAAGTGGTTCCTGAGGATCAATCTCTCCCATCGCTGTGTAGGACCCCTTGGTCCATTCCTCCCACTAAACTCAGTAACATCTGAGGATTTCCTGCCATGATCTGTTCATCTCCCACCTTGCCCTGCCATTCCACCAGGGTGTCCGTTTGGGCTTCATCTTGGCCATTCCGAAATGCTGAATCTGTTCTTCCTCATTACCTTATTCCTCCAGAAGTATAAAGAGTCATTTTTGCCCAATGAGTTGAGTTCAAAGTTTATCTTAGTGAGCAATGACTTCCACCTTGCTGCTCCCCAATGTATCCTATTTTTTATCTAACACTTTTCTGATGAAGAAGTCACAAATGGTAACTTTAGCCAAGGTGAGCTAGGTCTGCAGGTGCCTGGAAGTTGTTCTGGGGTTCTTTGTGACTTCCTGGATGATTTTATGCTACGTTCTTGGAGTGATTTCAACAGGAGTCCACTCTTGGGAAGATTCACTAGTGTCCCAAATCTTCTCTATTTCAAGACGATGTCTCTGATTGGGGCTTAGTGGAGCCAGAGCTTTAGAAACAATTTTACAATCTTTTCAAGACTCATAGGCATATTTACAGAGATCTTCAAAAAATTATTTTCAGTGGGGTGTGACATACCTCTAGACTCTGTATGGTGAGTACCTCACTGTGTTAAGGAGAGCCACCATTTCTGAGATTTCTATAGGGCAGGGATGGCCAAATCAGCCCTGATTATTTATCAAAGAACTCACACAACTGGCCCTATTATTTCTTTAATTAAATTGATTGACCTGAAGAAGTGATTACTTTTTCACACTGGCACGTTGCATGTTGGAGGATGTTGTGCAAATGCAGGGGAAGCTATTGTGTGAATCACCTGTGCAGTCATGATAATCATATTGACTTTGTTGACATCCCAAGCTCAACTCCCAGCTAAGCCTTTCCCCTCAGTTCCCTGTCCTTTTCCTTGTGTTGCCTCTGTTTTCTATTTCCTATTCTTTGCCCTCTTTGGGCGTCTTCCACAGTCCACAGTCCAACTTTAAGACACACAAAAGGAAGTACTTAGTGCAGAGCTGAACTAATTAGGTGACCAATGGACACAGTGGCCACCAACTTCAAAGTTAAAGTCAAAGTCACGTTCAACCTCCAATGACTTCAGAGTTGCATCCATGTTGATTTTGCAAACATACAGAAGTGTTACTATTCCCAGGCTAACTTATGCTCCTGCTGATCACCTACCCTTCTTGAAATCAGCCAAGATCAGCTAAGTGTTACTTACCTACTCTACCATAGGTTAAGACTCCCTATCCCAGTGTTTCTCAACCTTAGCAACTTGAAAAATGGGTGGACTTTAACTCCCAGAATTCCCCAGCCCGCATGCGGGCTGGGGAAT